TTATCACTACTACTACTACTGCCACTTGTTCTGTTTCGAATAATGCGGCCACTATCCTCACCACTACGGGGATTATTCTTACTAGTGCTGTGCTGACTTCTACGACTACTTGTTCTAGGGTTGCTAGCACGACGCATCTTATTCCTGTTATTTTATTGTGAGTGCCATTACTACTCCGACGGCTGCTACAAGTACTATTACTCGTACCACTACCACTACTACTACTACTACTACTACTACTACTACTACTACTACTACTAGTACTACTACTACTACTACTACTACTACTACTACTACTACTACTACTACTACTACTACTACTACTACTACTACTACTACTACTACTACTACTACTACTACTACTACTACTACTACTACTACTACTGCTACTACTACTACTACTACTACTAGTATTAGAGCTACTAGCATTGCGACTGCCATTGCTACTGCTTTAGTATTACTATTAATACTACTACGACTACTACTAGTACATTACTACTACTACTACTACTACTACTACTACTACTACTACTACGACTACTACTACTACTACTACTACTACTACTACTAGTACTACTACTACTACTACTACTACTACTACTACTACTACTACTACTACTACTACTACTACTACTACTACTACTACTACTTACTACTGCTACTACTACTACTACTACTACGAGGCCTACGGCTACCACTGCGACTATTCTTTCTACGGTTGCCACTACTGCGGCTCAAACTAACACTCCAACCACTACTTCTGCGGCTACCAGTGCTACTACCATTACTGCCGCTGTTAATAGTAGCATTACTACCAGTACTACTTCTACCACGGCCACTACTACCATTAGTGTTTCTACCTGTACCACTACTTTTGCTACAACTACCACCGTTACTACCACCACTACGACTACCATTACCACTTCTACCAATATTACCTCGGCAACAACAACTACTACTACCATCACTACCACTACTACTGCTACTACGGCCACCACTTGTACTTCAACTACAACTACCACCTCTACTTCGATCCCGGCTACTGCCACTACTGCTTATACGAGTACTTCTACCACCATCGCTCCTGGCACGACTGCTGCTACTACGGCTGCGATTGGTATTGCCTTTGCTACTGCCACTAATCCAACTACTACAGCTTTTTCCACCTCTACTACTACTACTACTACTACTACCACGTATGCTACGACGACGACGACTACTACTACTACTACTACTACTACTGTTACTACGTGCCACATCTGCCACCACTACTTTTACGACTACGGCTACTACTGCTACTATTATTACTGCCGCTACTACTACTGCTAGTGTTACTACAATACTTCCACTACTTCCACGCCTGCGACGTGCTGATATTACCTCTTCGGCTTCACATATTGCGACTGCTCTGTTTACGACGATTACTAGTGTTAGTTTTCATATTGCTCGCATTTTTCCTGCAACTACGACTTCTACGGCTACGATTGCGATTGCCACGGTTAGTACTCACGCCTCTACTGGTATTATTTGTATGCATACTCCGACCGTTACTTCTACTGCTACGGGTACGTTTGCGCATATCCTCATTACTACGACGACGACTACTACTACTACTACCACTACTACCATGACGGCTACTACGGCTACGTTTAGTTTTATGTTTGCGAGTACTTTTTTCTACCACAACAGCCAGGAACACCATTACTCCTACTCCTACGTTACTACTACTACTACTACTACTATTTTCTAGTACTACCCTCATCATTCTTACTACGAGTCCTGCTACAGCTCCTACTACTGCTGCGACTACCACTAGTTATAGATCCAATCGTCTGGATACTGTTACCACTACTACCCCACTACCACATCTACTTATTTATTGCTACCACAACTACCACGATCATGGTCACCACGACTGCTACTATGTCAAGTACTATTACGATTGCTACCATTATTATTCTTATTCTACGTAGTCCTACTACTACCACTCGTGTTGCAATTACTGATGCACCTACCTCTACAACTACTACCATTTCGATTCTTAGAACTATTGCAACATTTACTATTGCTATTATTCCTGGAAAGGTACTACAGCTACTACCCTACTACTACCACTACTACTACTACTACTACTACTACTACTACTACTACTACTACGGTTACCACTGCTATTATTACCATGCTTACAGAACCCCTGGCTAGTACTTCTGCCATTATTACTTTTGCTATTACACATATCACTTCATCTACCACTATGTCTACTACGACTACTTTTATGATCAATAGTATTACTAACACTATTACTTATACTACGGATGCAACTAGAACCGCTGCTCCTACTACGACTACGGCTTCTACAACGATTGTTGCAATTACTACTGCTACTGCAACTTCTAGTGCTAATACTACAACACTGATTGCTACTGCTACTACTACGACGACGTCTTGCTTTTTTATACTAGTTTTGAAGTTGTTTATTACTACTACCACTACCCCTACCTTTACTCCCACTGCAACGGTTACTATTTTTATTCCTACCACGCCGAGAACCACTACAACAATCATGTTGCTTCTGCTGCTACTACGATTACGACTGCTACTACTACTACTACGACTACTACTACTACAACTACTACAACTACTACTACTACTATTATTACTACTACTACTACGAGTTCTTTGGCTACTCCTATTACTACGACTACCATTGTCACGGCTGCGACTGCTATTATTATTTCTACTACCGCTATAATTATTATTTCTTCGACAACTATGTCTACTACTCTTAGTACTAGCACTACTATTTTCTCTGCTACGAGTGCGACTACTAGTACGACTACTACCACGACTACTATGATGATTACTCCTACTAGTACTACCACTACTACTACGACTACGACTACTACTACTCTTACTACTACTACTACTACTACTAGTACTACTACTACTACTACTACTACTACTACTACTACTACGACTATTACTACTACTACTACTACTACGACTACTACTACTACGACTTCTCCTACTACGACTTTTCCTATTACTACTACTACTACTACTACTACTACTACTACTACTACTCTTACTACTTCTACTACGATTACGACTACTACTATAACTTTTACTCCTATTGCTACTGCGACTGCTACTGCAACTACTGTTCTCTATTTCTACTACTACTAACACTAGTACTACTATCATCAGTACGACTACTATTTGTACTACCACCACGGCTACGACAACGACTACTACTATGATTATTTCTATTACTACGAATACGACTACTATTACTACTACGATTCTTACAACTACTACTACCACTTATACTACTACTACTACTACTACTACTACTCCTGCTACTACTACTACTACTACTACTATTACTACTACTACTACTACTACTACTACTACTACTACTACTACTACTACTACTACTACTACTACTACTACTACTACTCTACTACTACTACTACTACTACTACTACTACTACTACTACTACTACTACTACTACTACTACTACTACTACTACTACTATTAATACTACAACAACTACTACTACTACTACTACTACGACACGACTACTACTACTACTACTACTACACTACTACTACTACTACTACTACTACTACTACTACTACTACTACTACTACTACTACTACTACTACTTACTACTACTACTACTACTACTACTACTACTACTACTACTACTACTACTACTACTACTACTACTACTACTACTACTACTACTACTACTACTACTACTACTACTACTACTACTACTACTACTACTACTACTACTACTACTACTACTACTACTACTACTACTACTACTACTACTACTACTACTACTACTACTACTACTACTACTACTACTACTACTACTACTACTACTACTACTACTACTACTACTACTACTACTACTACTACTACTACTACTACTACTACTACTACTACTACTACTACTACTACTACTACTACTACTACTACTACTACTACTACTACTACTACTACTACTACTACTACTACTAACGTGTTTCTCATATTTCGATTCCCAGTGCGATCACTACCACTACTACGCTGGCCCTCTTCCGCTCGGTCTTTTTTCGCCCTGCCCTCGTGTGCCCCCGTTTCCGCCGAGTGCCTTCTCCGCCCGGCCCTCTTCCGCCGCGTCCGTTTCCTCCCGGCTCTTTTCCGCCTGGCCTTCTCCCGCTCTTGCAGCCGGCCCTTTGCCGCCGTGGCGCCCTCTCAAGCAGGAGCGCCGGCCAGGTGTTCGAGCCTCCGCAGAAACGGGCTTCGCTGGAAACGGGCATCGGCAGAACCGGGCCTCGGCGGAACAGGGTCTGCGGAAGCGGGGTTCGGCGGAAATGGGGCCAGCAGTAACGGGTCTTGGCTGAACAGGTCGTGTATCGTGTATCGTCCCCAGCCCCTCCTAGCCCCAATCCTGCAAGCCGCTTGGAAGGAAGCTCACGGTCTGGGATAAGCAAAGTGTGGTTTCGTGTTGGCGATTCGCCAGATTCGGACGTGCAGCGTTCTCGCAGGCCCCTCGGTGGCCAGTCTTTTTAGGCCGATGCTGTCTTCCTCAGGGCCAAGGGCTCCAGACCACCCACTTGGAGCTTGTTCAATGCGCAGGGACCTAGAGCCCTCGGCCCCTACGCGCTCACGTAGCTCACGCCCTGGATCGTTTTTGTGTCGGCCAGGTGGCCCAATATAGGCCTGCAGGGGCCCAACCTTAGAAGGCCTCGGCATTTCCAGCTTCCCACCCCCCTTGGAAAAGCAATGCAGCTCTGACAGGTCGTGCCGAAGAATCGTCTGGGGGGCTTCCCTGGTGGTAGTTTTACATTCCAGGTCTGTTTCTGACGGTCTTGGTGCCCGAAAACGGCCCCCGGAGGTCCGAAACAACGAGAAGCTGAAGGCGGCGAACAAATCGACCATCAAAGTTGCACTAGCTATTCTAAGGCAGTGTGGGATGTAGCCTGCCCGCTGTGCCAGCGGCGAGGTGCAGGAGGAGCTCAGCCGCCTGGGCAAGGCCGAGTGCCCCATGCCCTGCCGGAGCGAGTCTCCCGCTGACGGCGAAGCATTGGGCGTCGAGGCCACATCGTTCCTCAACCTCACTCGTTGTCATCCCTCCTCCTCGTCCATCCATCCTCCTTCTCCCTTCTGGACCTTCCTCGTTTTCCTCGTACTCATGCCTTGTTCCTCCCTCGTCCTCGTCTGCCGTTTCCCGCCCTTGACCTCGGATGTTTGGTATCCCCTAGACATCCTCCCTCGTCCCCGATTCACCCTCCCTGACACTCCCCTTCCCCCCTCAACCTCCCCCTCCGTTCCTCCTGGGAACCCTCCTCCGTCGCCCCCCTCGCCTCCCCCCTCTTTCCGCCCCCCCCTCCTCTTCCCGCCACTCCCTCCCGCTCTCCTGCTCCCCCCCCATGGCGCCCCAGAGGTTCGCCACACCTCCCAGGCCTCCCGTGCCCGCCCTCCCCCTCCTTGGCATCGCTCGGACGTGTGTGTACTTTCTTTTCCTCTGCGGTGGCCACCGAGGAGCATCCTGCACCATCGAGCAACAACACTCAGGAGGGGAAAAAACACAGACACAATTAATCTTCGACTCCCAGGAAAATATAGGAAAATATGGGAAGTGGGGGGACGACGAAAACCCAGAACATATAATAACATATGGGGGATCCTCTTATGTATGTGTATTCATTTGTGTGTCCCAGGGCCCCTTCAAAAACGAAGACCGCGCACGAGATCGACACATGCACGGGGAACCGACGTCCGAGAGCGATGGCGACGTCTCCCCGTCGCCCCCCCCTCTGACCTCCCCCCCCGCCCCGCCCTCCTCCCGGACCGCAGGCGGAGCTCCGAGTGCCGCCCGCGGCGCCCCCGCGGGGGCCCTCGCCGCCCGCCCCCCGACGCGCCGCGGCGGCGGGGGGCTGCCAGGACGGGGGGGCGGGGGGGGCTGCCCGCCAGGTACTCCAGATTTCGTAATAAAGGGAGGGGGGTCTCATTTCGGGGGGGGTCTCTTCCAGGCTATCTTGGAGGGCCTGGGGGGGTCTGGGGACGATGTTGTGGAAGGTTTTCCCACGGGGGGGGGGTCTGAAATGGCTTGTCTTGGAGGGTCCAGACCCCCTCCCTTTTATTACGAAATCTGGAGTATCCTCGCTGCCCGACCGGCTCGTCTCCCCCTCCCCTCTCCGCCCACGCCTCCCTGGCGCAATGCCGCTCGTCCCTCCCCCCTCATCGGGTCCTCCCCGCTCCGTCCCCTCCATTTTCCTTCCCCTCCCTCCCTGATCCCTCCCTCCCTCCCTCCCTCCCTCGCCCATCTCCCGCTCCGTGGTACCAGTGCTCCCCTCCCCTCTCTCCCCCGACATCGCTCCCCCCGCTTGGCTGTCCTCATGTACGTGCGTCTTCCCATTCCGCCTCTTGGCCCTCATCCTCTTCTCTCTCTCTGCTTTCCCCGTAGTCCTGTTGACTCAAGGCGTCGGATGTCATCGCGAGCCAAAGTGGGCACCCGGTCGGGCGTGCAGCCGCCCAGCGGGTTTGCTGACCTGACTTCACGTCTCGGCAGGAGTGCGCTGGGCACTAGACAGCAAGGCCATGCCCAACGACAAGGCAACATATAGCATCAGAAACACTCTTCTAGTTGCTTGCGTGGGAAGGCCCTGTGCACTGAATGCGCCAGAGGCCGCATGGCGCCCTGACGCACAGAAACACAAGCGTTCTGGACAGGCCAAGGCCTACAGGAATTTCGTGTGTCTGTGCAGCGCTGGCCCCATGCCGCCACCAGGACGCGCAAAGCTGCGGAGAGTTGAGGATGCGAAGAGGCGGATACGCAAGTGATGCATACATCATGCCACGGAGGCCCATTGGCACACTTATCATGATGGTTGCTTGCTTCATGTGTGGAGTGGCCAAGGGGCGAGCATACACAGCAGCAGCAGCAGCAGCAACAGCAACAGCAACAGCAACGGCCTCTTCTGGGGCAACCATTGCTGCTAAGGTCGGGGACCTGTCAGCAGTCCGTCAGAAGGTGCGGATGCTGGAGGCTACGGCGGTTGCCGATCCCAATCAGGTAAAGTCGGTCGTGGACGACACAGAGCCTGGATCTCTGCTGCTGCAGCAGAAGAAGCAGAAGTTGGCGGCGGTGGAGGCGGTCATTTCTGCTTTCGAGACTGCCGCCAAGCCCGAGGGGTCGAACCGATGCTGCGTGGAATACCCTGCGCACGCTGCGCCAGGAGATCCAAGCTGCCAAGCCTTTGGGCTCGCAGGTGCACGGCGTGGGCAATCGGTTGCAAAAGGTGGACCAACAGTTTGAGAAGTTCAAGAGGTCCATCGACGCTGAGACCACGGCCCTGGAGTCGCCAGCGAAGCATCTTGAGGCATTCTAATTCTCGCATTCCGAGCAGATAAAATCAATGCAGCAAAGGGCACTGAAGTCAGCATTGGCAAGCTTTGAGTCCATTGGCACGGTTGTGGAACATGTGCAGAGTCTTGTGCATCAGCTGAGCGGTGGAACGCAGATTGCGGAAGCATGTGTCCACCAAAGTTGCCCCTGGCTCGAGAAGGCCAAACATTCGCGGGAGGCGGCGGGGGCAGCCCATCACGCACCACATGGCGACGCTGGGAGGACAGCAGCGCTTGCGCAACGGCCTCTTTCCACTCCACCCTACTGCGATGGGGGATGCGGATGTTCATGTTGCCAAGACGTTGATTGCAAGGCTTTGGTGGGAGGAGCCTGGGGATGAGAAGGATGTGCGCGGTATCGCTAGGAGGTTTGCGGGCGGCTTCTGGGCGTGACATGCCAAGCAGAAGGAGCCGCGCACACGGGCGACTCCGACTCCGCGCGCCCTCGTTAATGGCATGATGAGTTTGTCCGCTAGCAGCGTGATGGTGCACGGTGGCATGGGCGACCCAGGGAAACATTCTTCCGTATTTCTTGAGTGCGAATATGCCGTGACTGTTGCGGCGTCCAGGGCGTCATGTGGTGACTTGCTGACTGCGTCGGGGCCTGCTTCACCAGGTTCGCCAAGTCGGGCCAATGCTGGCGGCGGCGTTTCACTGACAGCATGGCTGGCAAGCGGCGCGAGCAGAGCCCAATTGACAGTTGGACCGACGACTGCGACTTCGCTTGGCCGGCTTAATTCCGACGTGGGTTTTTTAATCTCCAAGGCCAGCAGTGGCGCCTCTCACTCTGTTGATCACGTTCTGGCGGCCATTGTGGAAGCTCTCAAGGCCCCAGGTTGCGATTTGCTGACTGCGCCGGGGGCTGCTTCATCAGGTGCTCCAGCGTCGCCCATTGCAAGTGGGGGGGCATGCGGTGACTGCGTGGATGGCAGGCGGTGCGAACAACAGGATCAATAACTCGTGGGCGACGAAGGTTGTTGCGCTGGGCGGGTGTACTTCCAGCGCCAGCAGCGGCGGCGATCAATTTCAGGCTCACCCTGTCCCCGCGATTCTCTGCAGTGACAGGGCGGGTGGCGCCGGCCAGTAAGGCGGCATATCCCAGCGGGAAGGGCGCGAATAGGTCGCCCAGGACAGGCAGCTCTGGAGAATTGAAAGCTACTGGTCAATTTCATTCGCACGGCGCCTCGGGCTTGGTTGGTTGAGCCAGGACAGCCAGTACCGACCCCCCCCGCTGGGGAGGGCGCGCGCTGGTCACCCTGGCAAGGCAGCGCTTTCAACGCTGGATGCTGAGGACGACGTGCTGGGCGGCGGCGTCGACTTCTTGGGCGACGGCACTTCCGGCGAGTGCTGCGGCGGCGCCCGCGAGATTCCCCGTCGGGCGCTGATGGCGCGATTGTCTCATCATCGCCGCGCGCTTGGCCAAGCTGCCAACGCGCGCGCGGTCAGGGCCATCGGCGCGCAAGCCGCGAAGTTCTCTCGACCGCGCGCGGCGCGTCAGAGGTAGGGGGCGCCCCTATCATGGCCCGCGCATCTGCGGACCTTCGCCTGATGGGGGAAGTCATCGCGGTGCACCTGGCGTCGCATTGCTGCCTCTTCAAGTACCTGCCAACGGTTAACGTTGCGATGGCGCCGCCATGCGCGGGATCGCACTGCCCCTGCGCGCCGTCCAGAGCGCGGGATCTTGGGCGGGAGGGGCGCCGGGCTGTTGCCGCTGCCACCCCGCGCACTTCTGCGCGCGCGGCGATTTTTTTCGCAGTGGTCTTATGTTCGCGGCTCCCGGCCTGTTCTTTCCGCGGGGGGCGCCTGCTTGCCCGTGCCCCCTGCATTGCCCCCGCCGGCTCCGCGTTCGGCGGCGCGCGCGTGGGCCCCTCGGGCGGCGTCGGCCCCGTCAATGTCGTTTTCCATTGGGTGGTGGCGCAGCTCAGTTGTCGCGGGCGCGATTTGCTGGTCGGCGGCGTCTGGGGCATCGGGCCCTCAGAGCTGCTCGCCAACAAATGGCGCGCCGTGGCGGGGGCCACGCCCTCCCGTCCAGTCGCGCCCGCGCGTCGGCAGTTGCCCCTGGGCGCCGCCCTGGGCCATCGCACCGCGTCTGCGAAAATTGCGGCGAGAGTTGCAGCTGGCTCGAAGTTGGACGACGGCGCCGTCGGATGTCCTCGCAGCCCCGCGCGTCTGCGCATCGCTGTGGAGGACGTAGCAGCCTGGAAGTTGGCGCCCAGCTTGCCCGCGGCGCCGCCGCTGCAGGCCGCTGTCGGGCGCGCGCTGTGCGATGGAACGAGGCCCGAACGCGCTGGGCGGCGTCGACAACGTCGCGGCGTTGGCCCGCGTCAAGGACAGAGCGATGGGCGGTGCTGGGCGAGATCTCTCCGATCGAGATGCCTCGATGGGGCCGCGGGCTCTCGCCCGCTCGCTGCGCGCGGGGAGCCCTGCTCATGTTTGCCGGCAGCTGGGCTGGTAACCACCGCGAAAGAGGCCATATAAATCCGCAGACCTCAACGTGGAAGACGGCTTTGGGGTTGATGGTGAATTTGCCGAACGAGCGCGCGCGACCTCGCGATTTCGCGTCGCTTCTGCAGCCGACCCGTGCCTCGTGCGAAGTGGGGCCGCAGCAGCGCGCTGCGCTGCTTGACGCGTCGCGCAACATCAGCGCGTTTCTTGCGGGGGCCTTTCGCTGCAGGGCTGCTCTCCGGCATGTTCGAATGCGGCTTCGTTTTTTTGTTTGTTCTATGGGTCTGGGCTTGATGTTATGACTTCGCCATCGTTTCAGGTTTCGTTCGACGCGGCCTGGGCTGAGGCTGCGAGGCTGAGGAAGCAGGATGAGCGAGCGCTGCTCGGTTAATGGATGGGGTGCGCCAGGGGGCTTTTCAACGTAGAGTTTCGACTTGCGCGCGGGGTGTCCATGGCCCATGCGATTGGCCAGGTGCCCCCTTTCCCTCGTCGACCTCGCGCGCTGGGTGATCAGGACTTGGATTCGTGGTCTTATATCTGCAGGCTTCACGATTGCCCGCCGGCACAGAGACCCTCGGGGGCCGACGCGCGGCCGGCGTTGCCGACGGTCGACGTTGGCGCGCTCGGGCACGTCAGTCGGGCATTCCCAGCGGGTACGTCTGCAGGCCCATGCGCACTGCATCGTCGGCTGCTCCGGCATCTCATAGATTCTTAGACTCGAAGCTGCAGGTGTTGATCGGGCTCATCGCGACAAGCGAGGAGCTACTCGACTGGCCTACTGAACGAAAGTGGTCGATGATGGGCCGTGCCCACAAACGCGAAGAAGGGCGCGGCCTCGCGTTTTCCGTCGGGCACGCGGCCGGTGACGACGGAGCCTGTCTCGTTTCTGGGGGGCGGATGGGCGATGCGAGCAGCCATGGAGTAACCGCTCGCGCTGCACCTCGCATGATTGCGCTTTCTTACACAACATTGGTTTGCAGTACTGCGAGGCACATTATCGGCGACGATGATGCTGTATCTCGCCAAGGTGCTCTACCAAACCAGGTCTTCTTAGATGCTCGCAAAAGGTCTGGCACTGGGGTCTTCAACTCGCATGATATGGATGCTGATGCGCATGTACCGACTGCCACAACAGCTCCAATTTTACTGTTGCATTCCAGGAAGTTTGGGCGCCGACCAGGGCATTTTGGCGGAGAGCACCCATGCGGCACGCATGCCCGAGGCATTGTCGTGAGGCCGAGGCAGTGTCACGCAAATCGTATGCCCCCGCTCTCTTGTCGATGATTTGCCTGTGTAGTTCATTGGACCTGACCCGCAAGGTATCAAGACATAGGTCCTGGCCAACACATCATTCCAGGTGGAGTTCATTCTCGTAGCTTCGCGATGTAGTCGCCATGATGTCGGTGTGGCTTATGCTGCTGAGTCTGGTTCTTCCCAAGATTTTGGTGGCAGCAAGTGCCCTGTGTGTGCTTCGGGAAGGAATATGTACCGCGAAACGCTTTGCGGACGGCTGCTTCGGCTGCAGGAGAAACAGAGGACCAAAGGCGCACGTCGGCGACAGCCTCGTTTACAGATGTTCGCAAAGTCCACCGGCAAGATGGCGTCAGTGCTGCGGAGGGCTGGCGCGCAACCTGCACTTGCTGATGCTGGCGTGCATGGGCGACGCGTCTCTGAAGCAGGGCCGCGCCGCAGCCGCTTTGCCAATTGGAACGCCGCCACAATTTCACAATATAGCATTTTTTCGTATGGTCAGTGGCACATACGTTGTTTTCCTACCTAGGACATTCTAGGATGGCACAACCTCTCCCCTTTGCCGATGCCACTGCTTTGTCTGGGACGGCAGGATTGGTTTCGGTGCGCACGGCATGCGCGGGACGCGTTGGCGGCGCAGGGAAGCAACCCAGCAGTGACATGGGCTGTCGCCAGAGGCCCTCTCACAGCTGCTCGGTTGACACTCGCAAGGTTGGGCGGGGCATCCGCTTCGCCAGGGCATTGACGCAGCGACCGTGGAGTCTGTCATGACCTTCTACGGTTAACTCGGGCATGCCCCTCTATAGGAGGAATTTTCAAACATAGTCTGGGGACGATTTTTGGGATTCGTTTTGACTATTCTTGCATAGTGTTTGATGCTCTATTTTTCGTCCAAAATCCCCGTGCCGGAGGACATGCCCGACCTGGGAGATCGGGTGCTGGGCCGATTGAGGACGCCGTCCCTGGGAGAAGACAAAGCGCCATCAACATAAACTCTTGGCGCTCCGCGCGGAGCGACACATGTTGATGGTTACGGCGCTCTTTCGCCTTCGACCAAGGGCGCCGTCCTCGCCGTTCTCCGGGGCGCACCTGCTGATGCGAGCGGCTTCCCGGAGGACGCTGCCGCGCGCCGGCAGGCGCAGGGGCCGGCGCGCCCTTTTGCCAGCACGGGTGCCCGCGCATGCTGTCCGGGGGAGCGTGCTCGCCGTGGTGGGCCCCGGGACTTCGAGCCGGCCCCGCGCGGTGCCCTCAGAGGGCTCTGGACCGCTGTCCCGCGCCCCCCCGCCCTGCCGCGCGGGGGGAGGACGTGTCTCGGGGGCCTGACAGACCTCCTGCCCTGACACGTCGATTGAGGAATTGGCCGTTTTCGCTTCGCGAGAGGGCGTCGCGGCCGTCGTTTTTGCGGGTCCAGGGCCGTCGGTTTCGGTCCCAGGCCGTTTCCACCAGGGGGAGGTCTACTAAAGGGAGGTTTGTCCACCGCCGAATGTCCCCGCACTGCTGCGCGCAGGGGTGCCGATGATTCGTTTGGGCGCATCCGGGCACACTGCAGTGTCCCTGAGCAGCCTGATCCGAGTGAGGCCGAGGGAGGTTTTGCACTTGGATTCGTCCGGCACCTGAGGCTCCCAGTGTCGCCTTTCGTGCCATCGGCCACAGGAATCCAGCTGAACGACACTGTGGTGGTTTGCATACAGGTCCTGGGCTCCCGAATTTTTCTGGTATGCTTCCGTCCCCTCCTGAGGAGGAGTCGGAGGCTTTGGGAGTGGAGGGCGTTGGAGGTGAGTGTGGTCCTGAGGTTTCCGGGGATGGGACTGCACAGCACCCGTCGCTCCCAGAGGTGCCGGTTGGGCCATCGTGCACTTGAGCTTGGTTTTTGTTTCCCCGCGCGCGCGCCGTCTTCGGTCCCTTTTTGCTGGGGAGGTCCAGACCGTGGGCCGAGCGGAGCGCGCCGCAACGTGAGGAGCGTTCGCGCGAAGCGTGCCGATGCGTGTTTTTGCTCTTTTGACGTGCTTTCCTTGGTCGGAGGAAGGCCCTCCCTGGGACAACGACCTCGCGTGTGGCATGAAGACGTGTGCTATAGACTCTGCTTGTCGATGTTTTTTTGTTACCTCCGATCGTGATCCCAGCTCACCTCCCCCCCAAATGTTACTCCAGATTTCGTAATAAAAGGGAGGGGGTCTGGACCCTCCAAGACAAGCCATTTCAGACCTCCCCCGTGGGAGAACCCTCCAAAACATCGTCCCCAGACCCCCCCAGGCCCTCCAAGATAGCCTGGAAGAGACCCCCCCCGAAATGAGACCCCCCTCCCTTTATTACGAAATCTGGAGTAGACAGGGGGGATGACTCTGTGGCCTTTCTCGGGGATGCGGGGGCCGACTGGTTGCGAAGCTGGCTTCGCGCAGGGCTATGATTGCGTCCGTCACCGCCAAGGCCGTGGAAGGAGAACTCCAGCTTCGCAAGCGCACGCTGGAGTGTCTGCTTTGGGCGTCGGCGAGGTTTGGCCGCCGCCCGCTCGCCGCCCCCGCCCTGACGCTGCAATCAAGTTGGTCCTTCATGGGCATGGTTTCGTCCTGGACCAGAGGACTGGCAAGGTGCGGTGTGTTTCCTGCTCATTTGGTGCCATGACGTGTAGATCGATGGCGCATTTGTGCAATGGTCAACTCGTGTTGTGTCGGCCCAAGGAGGCGATGGTCTTGAAGGGCCAGTTCTGGCTTAAAAGGCCTCGGTGAGGCCGCGAGGCATTTGAAGGCCGCTCCCGCGCTGGAAGCTGACCAGGCCCTGGATGCGCCTGGCATATTTCTCCCTCCCTCTCCGCTTAGAAACCCCACGGGCTTGGAGGTAGAGAGAGCCATCCGTGCTTTCAGTGATCGTGGACATGCTATGTGTCGATACGGTCGCGTTCGTATTTGTTCTTGCGTTGGATCCGCTATCCTGCCACATGGCGTCCCGCGGCTGCTGTTTGAAGCCTGTCGCAGGCTACTAGTTGTGGGCTCCACTCGGGACAAACAGCGCAGAACATCTGACAAGGCCGTTCGCAGCCTCTACCCATCCACGGGGGAACTTGCTTGGTTTTTCCTTTTGGCGCACGGGCCTCGGCAACTGGCCGTCGATTCGTGCGCACAAGACGGTGGCACAAACGTTCCCGATCAAAGGGGAGTGCGCCGCCTGCTGACCTCTCTCTAGCCTGATGGCGTTCGTTCCCGCGGACGCTTTCCAGTCGGCGCCCGCCACAACTTTCTGCTTTCCTTTGCCCACCGTGCCATCCGTTTAGCTTTATTTGCCAGCCTCCTCATCTTCCTCTATCTCTTAATATTTTAGGTCACCCTCCGCCAGACAAACATATCATCAAAGCTGATCTCGGTCCCATTCTCGGGCACCGTCCCGGCGTGCTTTCCGAGCCGCGGGGCTGGCTGCGTCGACGAGGTCGGCGCCCAAGCAAGCAGTAATGCGCTGCATCCTGAAGGACGCGTGCGCTGGTCGGCAACGACACTGTGATTCCCACCAGGAATTGCTGGGGCTTCACGCCCGCAGTCACAGTGTGAGGAAATCAGTTTGTGTCGCTCCATAGACTGGAGCTCCTTCTCCTCCTCCTCCTCCTCCTCCTCCCGCCGATGGCTGCCGAGGGCGACCTTGTCGTCACTTGGCAGCCCGGCCTCGCGGACCAGGTTCGCTCTGGATTGCAGGGGGGGGGGGGGGGCCTGAAGACTGACATCGGACGAGGGAGGGGAGGGGCCCTGAAGACTGACATCGAACGGGGTTAAGACGAGGCTAAATCCGTTCCAGAGCGTTCTGGAACGCTCTCAGAAGGCCGTGGCGCCCGAGACATCCTCCAGAGCCGCTGGATCTCAGATATTCTCGATCGACCAGCATCCGATCGCATCCTCGCCCCGGCTTCGTCTTAAACAAAGGAAAAAGGAGGAGAAGGAGGAGCCGCTCCTCACGCCTCCGGCAGCAAGGACGCGGCCGACCATACCGCGTGCTACACCGCGATCCGCTACGGCCTGATGGAGGGCATCGCCGAGCACCCCGAGTTCTATCCGGGCCTGACGGCCAGCGCCACCTTCCGGGATGTGCAGGATGGCGGCGCGTCGGTCCAGAGGTTTTTTCTGTATGTTTGGCGCCTCGGGGGCGGGGCTCCAAAGAAGGCTCGGGCAGCTTGGGGAGGAGGAGAAAAGGTTGGTTAAGGCATGCATTGCAATGAGTGCACGGATGATGATGATGATGATGATGATGATGATGATGATGATGATGATGATGATGATGATGATGATGATGTTGATGTTGTTGTTGTTGTTGTTGTTGATGATGATGATGATGATGGTGATGATGATGGTGATGATGGTGATTATGATGATGAAGAAGATGATGGTGATTCTGATGATGATGATGATAATGTTGACGATGATGATGATGATGATGATGATGATGATGATGATGATGATGATGATGATGATGATGATGATGATGATGGAAGTAAAACTGTATGATGATGATGATGGTGATGGCGATGGTGATGGTGGTGGTGGTGACACTGGTGGTGGTGGTGTTTCGAGATGATGTTGCTGCTGCTGATGATGATGCTGCTGATGATGACGATGCTGCTGCTGCCACTCGTGATGATGCTGATGATGATGATGATGATGATGATGATGATGGTGATGGTGATGGTGATGGTGATGGTGGTGGTGGTGGTGGTGGTGGTGGTGGTGGTGGTGATGGTGATGGTGATGGTGGTGGTGGTAGTGATGATTATGAGGAGGAGGAGGAGGAGGAGGAGGAGGAGGAGGAGGAGGAGCAGTTGCAGCAGGAGCATTGGGCGCCAAGATATTCGCGTTCCGCACGTGGAAGCGCGAGGCTCAGGTTGCCTGGCCATGCTCGGGTTCGCGCGCAGCTTGCCCCTGGAGGCATAGTGTAGTCTTGGGCGGTCTCAGCACACGGCGCCGCCTCCGGCGGCACCCCCGGGGGCGCACCTCACACGGGGGCTAAGGTACGAAGGAATAAGAATGCGCACATGGGCGTTGCAAAGAAACGGGGTCGTCTTTACCGGCATTCGCGTGTAAGCTGCCCGCGGAAGGTCGCGCGTAAGCGCCCTCTCTTCAGATGTAGCGTGCCGCGCTGGCGGCCCGCGTAAGCTTCGGCGTAAGGTCGCTGCGTCATCTCCCGTAAGCTCGGTCGCGCCGCCAGAAAGGCGTTCCTACGAAAGTTTGTCTCTATATTGTTCACCAGCCGACAGGTTGGGGGTGTTGGAATTTTGAGAGACTTGAGCTCCCACTCCCGCCTCGCACACGCTGTATATCTCGGCCGCCAGGCCCAACTTGTTCCCGTGCTCCCTGGGTATCCCGCCTCGTGCCCTCGACGCGGCCGCTAGGCCCACTGGGCGCCGGAACCCCTTGGGCATCCCGCCCCGCGTTCTTGGGTCGGGATTGGTCGAAGCAAAACGCTGTGTGTGTCTCCCCTTCTGGATTATTGTTAGCTTCGACACGAAAACAAATAATTTGCGGGGGCGGATGTAGCAGAGCGATAACTTTAGCATCGCACCAAGCCGCAAGATTGAATGATTCTTCCCCGCCCCCGCGACGGACATTATAACTAGTGACGAACGGCGGCACGAACGCAAGAGCCTCCTGCTTCTCCTCCTCCTCCTCCTCTTTCTCGTCCCCGCCACTTTCGAGGGTTGCTGGGGGGCTCAAGAGGAGTGCTGAGCAGCGGCCATGTGCCCTGGGTGCCAGGATACTGCTTCCGGGTGCTGGATGCGTTATCGCTTCACTGGAAGGGGAGGGGTGTGTTCTGATTGCTTCATAAGGTCCAAGACATGATCGCGTCGTCAAAAAAATCAGGACGGGGAGGTCTTTGGTCATTTTCGGTCCCCGGGGGCCCTTGCCGTGCCTCGGGACCGTCAGAAAACGGCTCGGGACGAGGAACCGGTCCTGGGGCAAGGGTCGGGACTTTCAGGGACGTCGTCCTGAGAAACTCAGGACGTCGCATGTTTGGGGTGGAAACCCATGCCAAGAAGCACCCTGCTTGCCCCCAGGGTGCTCTGGGCTTCTCTTTTTCATGTTTTTGGCTAAAGAAAGGACGCTCCCACGCCAAACATCAGTGGACGTCCTGGGGTTACTTCGTTCGGGAGCTTCCGAGCGAAGTGAACCCCACCCTCCCCCTCAGAAATCGTGGGGGGTAGGGGTAGGGTTCGCATGTGGCCCCCTCTTGGATCGACGCTGGGTCCCCCTCCTGGGCGCACAGAGCGCGCCTCAGTGGCGGCGTGGGAGGCGCCACCAGGGGGGGGTGGGGGCACCGCCGATCCAGCCGTTGCGCCTCAGACCTCAGGCAGTGTATGATGGGCCTGTTTTCCACCACCACCACCACCACCACCACCACCACCACCACCACCATAAGTCGGAGGGGGGAAGGAGGTGGAGGATGAGGAGGAGGAGGGGGAGGAGGACGAAGAGGAGGAGGAGGAGGAGAAGGAACCCCTTCCCCTCCAACTCATGGTGGTGGCAGCAGAAAACCGTGGGGTAGGGTTCGCATGTGGCCCCCTATACGTGTGTCGAGAGAGCGCTCCGGGGGGTGCACCGCGGGCACCTTAAAGAGGCTGCCTTCCGCGCAGCCCCGCGCCTCCCGCCGGCGCAGGAGAGCCTGTTCCTGGCTGGGCGCTACGGGTGCCCGCGGCCGTGCCTGGAGCCGGGGGAAACGAAGAACTTGGCAGCGCTCGGACGTGTGCATTTTTCCTTCGGCGAGGACCATCGATCCGACGAAGACGTCTATACACCACCACCGTGCCAGGCCAGGGCCATCCTGGGCCCTAGGATGGTGTATAGACCCTTCTGGCTCGGCCAGGAGGGCGTATACACCATCCTAGGGCCCAGGATGGCCCTGGCCTGGCACGGTGGTGGTGTATAGACGCTTTCTGCGTAATCGAGGACCATCCTGGACCCTCGAGCAAACAAAAACATGCACGAAACCGAGAAATGCACAGGAAATGGACGTCCGAGCGACGTCGCTCGGACGGGTGCATTTTTCCGTCGGCGAGGACCATCGAGGAGCATCCTTGATAATTTGGCGAAAAAGCCACGCACGAGACCGAGAAAAGCACAGGGAATGGACGTCCGAGCGATGGCCAGAGAAGGACATAAGCATAAAAACTCGGGGGAACGAAGACTTGGCATCGCTCGGACGTGTGCATTTTTCTCGGCGAGAACCATCGAGGAGCATCCTGGACCATCGAGCAAACAAACACACGCACGAAACCGAACAAATGCACGGGGAAATGGACGTCCGAGCGACGGCAAGGAGAAGGCCATAAGCATAGAAGAACTCGGAGGCCCGCGCGGATTTCTCGGAGCGGCGCTGGACCCCCCTCCCTGGCAGCGCGGAGCGCGCCAGGGGCGGCGCCGGAGGCACCGCCAGGGGGCCCAGCGCGGAGCCGAGAACTCCGCGCGGAACTCCGAGTTTGGATGCTTATGCCATGCTTCGCTCCCCGAAGGACGTGCCCGACGCCGGTGTGGCGGAGCCGTACACGAAGGACGTGCAGGACATGACCATGGGCGAGCTGGACAGGTACCTCTCCGGCAAGTGGGACGGCGTGGTGCGGCCGGCTCTCGATGAGAGGAAAGACACATGGTAGAGTTAAGTCGGGCCCGTCCCTCTAAGTCTACAGGAGGAATAGTCACAAATAGTTAAAACATAGTCAGGGGACTATGTTTTGACTATTGCTTGCCCATTTGGGAATATGTTTTGCGTACTTTTCAATTTTTGCTCCAAAATCCCCCTGTAGGGGGACAGGCCTGACTTAATGATAGAGTTAGGTCGGGCATGTCCTCCTACAGGCGGGTTTTGGACGAGTGATTGACCATAGCCACAACATATCCCAAAATAGTCCAACAATCATAGGAAAATCGTACCCCGCCTTTTTTTGACTATTTGTGAATAGTACTCCTGTAGAGGGACAGGCCCGATTGTTTTGTCATTCGACAGCTTTTGGGTTCTAAGACATTTCGTGGCAGGGATACAGGAATGCCGGGACGGTCGGTCCCTGCTCAAGTCGAGGGAGAGACGTAGGGCTTCGGAGGTTCACGCGGATCTCTTGGATAGGGGGCCACATGCGAAGCCTACCCCTACCCCCCACGAGTTCTGAGGGGGAGGGGGGGGCTCACTTCGCTCGGGAGCTCCCGAATGAAGGGAGCCCCACCCTCCCCCTCAGAAATCGTGAGGGGTAGGGGTAGGGTTCGCATGTGGCCCCCTATTTCACCACCCACCAAACCACCCCAACCCAACACGAAGGCCTCAAGTTGCCCTCCATTTCCAGTGGGGGGGGGGGTCGGGGAACATTTGAAAAAAAAACACATATGGAACTCGTACCCCCCCCCAACCCGAAATTCGAGTCTTCGGGTTGGGTTGGGGTTGTCTGGTAGGTAGTCACTATTGGATCGGCGCTGGGCCCCCCTCCTGGGCGCACGGAGCGCGCCTCAGTGGCGGCGGTGGGAGGCGCCGCCAGGGGGGGGGGGACCACCGCCGATCCGACCGTGGCGCCTCAGACCTCAGGCAGTGTACGACGGGCCTGTTTTCCACCACCACCACCAGAAGTTGGAGGGGGGAAGGAAGTGGTGGATGAGGAGGAGGAGGACGAAGAGGAGAAGGAGGAGGAGGAGGAGGAGGAGGAGACGACGGACCCCCTTCCCCTCCAGCTCATGGTGGTGGCAGTGGAAAGCCGTTCTGTTCTCGCCCGAGGCTCTCGCCGACCAGAGGCTGCTGGGCGTGTTCCCGCGCGCGAGCGGCCCTGACGAGGCCCTGGCGGGCCCAGGGCCAGGATGATGGCTCGCCCCAGGGCGTAAGAGCCTGGAATGTGAGAGGCGCCTGGTCCCGCTCCAGAGCGTGAGCTGAAGTCGGGCATGCCCCTCTACAGGAGGAATACTCCAAAACGGTCAAAAAATAGTCAGGGGGACAACTTTTCGATTTTTTGTTCATGTTTGAGCATTGTTTAGCTATTTCATAGTTTTCGTCCAAAATCCGCCCGTAGGGCAACATGCCCGACCTAAGCGTGAGCCTGGAATGACATCGGCGCCTGGTGCATCCTCCAGGACTGCTGGACCTCAGAGATCCCCGACCTGATCCCGATCCAACTTTGCTTTAATCGGGCACGTCCCTTTACAGGAGGAATACTCAAAAATAGTCGAAACATAGTCAGGGGACGACTTTTCGAATATTTGTGTATGGGCATTTTTTGTTGTTTCGTCCAACATCCGCCTGTAGGGGGACATGCCCGACCTAAGCGTGAGCCTGGAATGGCATCGGCGCCTGGTGCATCCTCCAGGACTGCTGGGCCCCAGAGATCCCCGACCCGATCCCGATCCGACTCTGCCTCTCTGTCTTGGCCTCGCCCGTCAGGGCAGCGCTGGGGAGGTGTGGGCTCAGCGGGGGATGTGCGTCGACCCCCCCCATCGCCCACTCGTCGCCGACGGGGGCCTTCTGGCCCATGCTCCCATGCTGCCCAGGGCGACGCGTCTTCGATCTCGGGGGCTTGTCGCCGATCCATCGGCGATGCATGGCCGATGCTGCCTCGATGTGCTCCCCCCTGAGCGTGTCGGGTCACCCGAACGTGCCCAGTCAGGATCGCGGGGAGGCAGTCGTTGGCGTGGTGGGAGGGGGGCGGCGTGCAACTTCTGGCGTCCTCCGTGCTGCTTGCGGCTGCTTGCCTCGGGGGGTCTTAGGGTGCCCAAGAGCGGCCGATCAACTCTTTGTGTTGCATCCCGGTCAGGTTCTGCCTCTCAATCTTTCATCCAGTGTGGTGGCAAGACAAGCTCAGGGGTGCAGGCTTGCTTTGCCGACACCAACAAACAAACAACAGGTTTTGCCCCTCCATGCTGGCCCCGCCCCTGTCTCTCTCTCTCGATCTCGACGCACGCCTCTCGATTGTTGGCCTCCGCCCCACGACGAGGCCGAGGAGGAGCCCTCCGCGGACGAGGCCCCCGCCGACGCGCCGCAGGGCCCCGCCGCGCCCTCGGTCGGCGAGCCGCCCTCCGCGGACGAGGCCCCCGCTGACGCGCCGCAGGACCCCGCCGCGGCCGCGGGCGGCGAGCCGCCAGCCGCGGAGGAGGCCCCCGCCGACGCGCCGCAGGACTTCGCCGCGCCCTCGGTCGGCGAGCCGCCCTCCGCGAACGAGGCCCCCGCTGACGCGCCGCAGGACCCCGCCGCGCCCGCGGGCGGCGGGCCGCCAGCCGCGGAGGAGGCCCCCGCCGACGCGCCGCAGGACCCCGCCGCGCCCGCGGGCGGCGAGGCACCGGAGGCCCGGGCGCACGAGGAGGCCCAGACGCCCGCAGAGCCGCAGGCGTCGGTCTGCCACGCGCAGAGGGGGGATGGGGGAGGGCTTCTTAGAAGCACCCCTGCTTCTTAGAAGGGCGCGGGCCTGATCCATGGATGTCAGGCCGGCGCCTTCCAAGAAGCAGCCTGCTTCTAAGAAGCCCTCCCCCCTCCCCCCACCCCCTTGTGCGCGCCGCCAAGTCGGGGAGAGTTTTCCCAACCGGCCTGTGCTTTTATCTCGTGCCTTTTTGGGGTTCGGGCTCCTGGGTCCTCGGCAAAAGTCGGGCCGAGCGAAAGGGGGGGGGGATGGGGAAAGGGGGGGGGGTACGAAATCTGCTGCAGGCCGCTGGTTCCGGCCCCGCCGCCAGGTCAATTCCTCGATACATGGGAGCCTCCTGGCGCACCCCTGGGGGCGCCTCTGGTGCCGCCCCCGGCACGCTCCGCGCGCCAGGGATGCGGAGGCACTGGCGAGCTCTGGCGATACGCGAGGGAGGTGGTTCGAGCTCCGAGGTCTTCGGGCGTTTTCGTCAGCTCCTGGCGGTGGTCCAGCCTCTTACCAGTTTGAAGCATGTGCGTATCGCTAGCTATGTTTGGCATCACCTGACCTCGATGCCGATCTTACGGCTTGTCGCAGCTTCTGCGGTCACCGGAGAGTTTCATCGCTGTTGGCTTGCCCATCTTCGGGATAGGGATCAGCTCGAGTCTGGATAAGCCTCGGGGTGCCTCCAGCAGCTGCGCCTCGTCGCTGAGAGCGAGAGCGTCTCTGGGGACGTCCCGAACGGCCGCCGGAGACCCAAGTTGTGACCCGAGAGCCAGGCGGCGAGCACGGACGCGGATGCGCAGCCGGCACAGACGGTGGCAGAGCAGGCGCTGGAGGGGCGCCCTGAGCCTGAGCAGGACATGACGAGGAACGAGTCGGACAGGTACCTCGACGAGAAGGAGCAAGAGCAGGCGGAGATGACGGGGAGCGAGCCTGACAGGCTGGACGAGAAGGAGCAGTCACTGACGAACGTGTCGGAGGAGCCGGAGGCGGCAGCGGAGACGAGTCGCGTGCAGGACATGACAACGAGCGAGCTTGACAAGTACCTCGACGGGACAGAGCAGGCGCTGACGAACGTGTCGGAGGATGCGCAGACGACGGTGGAAACGGGTCGCGTGGAGGACACCACGAAGAGCGAGCTGGACAGGCCAGACGAGAAGGAGCGGGCGCCGACGAACGTGTCGGAGGAGCCGCAGGCGCCGGCGGACACCGAGGCGGCGCTGGCGGAGAGCGAATTCGACAGGCACCTTGGCGAGAAGGAGCAGGCGAAGACCCCGCAGAAGGAGCCTGCGCAGACGAACGTGTCCGAGGAGGCACAGGCCGTCGATCAGATGGAGGCGCTGTCGCCTTTGCCGATGGTGGACATGGATGCCGCGCCTGCGCGTCCCGAAGACCCAGGCGTCCCGACCCAGGCGGCGGCCAGCGCCGTTGCCGCAGAGGGCGTGGCACAGGAGGCGGCCTCTGCCTCGGACAGCGCCGCCCAGGAGGCGGCTGGCGACGCGGCCGCGGACCTCTCGCGCAGCGCGTCGCCAGAGAGGGCCGACGTCGCTGCTGCCCGGGACAGCGCGCCCCAGGAGGCGGGCAGCGACACGCCCGCGGACACGTCGGAGAGCGTGTCTCGGCTCGCGGCCGCGGGCGCGGGCGCGGGAGCGGAGGCCGTGGGGGAGGCCCTGCCCAGGCTCGGCCAGGGCGGGGTCGAGGAGGGCGACGTGGGCCAGCCCACCGGGACGGTTGCGGCGGCGCAGCCCGTGGAGGAGGGGACGGACGCCACGGCACAGGAGCCGGCGGCCAGCGTTCCAGTGGAGACGCCGGCGGAGATGGAGGCCAGGATCAGGGCGAAGGTGAGGCAGGAGATGGAGAGCACGACCACCGCTCGGGCCGAGACTGCGGCGGAGATGGAGGCCAGGATCAGGTCAGAGGAGCTCGCGAGGGCCCAGCTTGAGACCACGACGACCGCTCATGTGGAGACGGCGGAGGAGATGGAGACCAGGATCCGAGCGAAGGTCCGGCAAGAAATGCTGAGCACGGCCGTTGTTCGTGTTGAGACGGAAGCGGAGATGGAGGCCAGGATACGGTCAGAAGCTATTAAGGGTATGGCCGATACGATAGTCCAGCTGGAGAGCACGACGACCGTTCATGTTGAGACGGCGGTTGAGATGGCGGCCAGGATCAAGGCGCAGATTATGCAGGACATGGAGAGCACGACCACTGCTCGGGTTGAGACGGTGGCGGAAATGGAGGCCAGAATACGGGCAGAGGCAATAAAGGATATGCTCGATACGAATTCCCAGCTTGAGAGCACGACCACTGCTAACGTTGGGCCTTTGGCGGAGATGGAGACCAGAATTGAGGAGCAGGTGATACGGGACATGTTTGTTGCGAAAGCCCAGCTTGAGAGCACGACTACTGCACCTGCTGAGACGTTGCAGGAGATGGAAGCCCGAATCAAGGAAGAACTCGTGCACACTGTCCAGACCAAGAAGTATTGGGGCTGATTTGCAAGTAGGCCGCATGCCTGGTGTATTGGCTTGGCAGCATCGCCTGACAATTCATCTTGTCATCATTGTCATCATAGTCTCCCACTTCCTCGCTTCCACCTCGTCATATGCCGTCCCGTCCTCTTGTTACATGTGCATATTCATATACACAAATAGATGTACATATTGTTATCCGACATACGTTGAACAATTACTGTGTGGGCAGGGAGCAGCAGCATTTGGGCAATGTTTGATAGCTACATTGGGAACCACCTGTGAACATTCGAACCACCCATACCCGTAAGGTGGCTTGGCACTTCTTCTCACACAGTGATGAACACTTGCGCTGAAACCAAGTGAAAAGCCAATCGCATTCTAACAGTTATGCTCAACGCCATTGAAAACCATTCCCCAGTTTTCAGAAATATGAGGTTGTCCCAAGCGAAATGGGCAGAAACAGACGTGGACGGAACGGGGCGGCTTCACCAATATCGCTTGTGACCTCTATTTCTTCGGAGCGGTGCGTATGATCGTGTATTTATCGAACTGCCTACGGCAAGTCCTGCCCACCGTGCCTGGTCTGTGGGTATGAAGCCTATTGGATGGTCTTCGGGATCTCGTGGGAGGCCTCTCGGGGGACTCTTGAAGGCAGTTTTGAAGCCTCTTGGGGGCCGTTTTGGGGCCTCTTGGGCCCTCTTTTGGTGGTCTCTTGGGGTCTCTTGGCGGCCTCTTGAGGCCTCTTGGGGGCCTCTCTGGCGCCTCTTGAGGCCGCCTGGGAGCTTCTTGGGGCGGAAGTCCAGGATTCTAGGTTCTTGGGTCCCTGTTGGGGCCGTCTTCGAGCCCTCTTGGGCCATCTTGGGCGCCTCTTGGGCCGTCTTGGGGCGCTCTCAGGCCGTCTTGGCCCTCTTGAAGGCCTCTTGGGTCGTTTTGGGGTGGTCTTGGGGGCCTGGGTGGCCGTCTTGGAGCGTCGGTAAGCCGGAAAGGCGAGAAAGCCAAAATCTTCCAAACATCTACAGATCATCAATGATTTGTTCCTCTTGGGGCCCTCTTGGGAGGCCTTTTGGATGCCTCTTGGGGCGTCTTGGAGACCTCTTGGGCCATCTTGAGGCCATCTTGGGCGTCTTCGAGCGATCGTTCGGCGACTCGGGGCCCTCTTGGGCCGTCTTGGGGGCCTCCTGGGCCGTCATGGAAGCCTTGGAGAGCCCCCGGGAGTCAGGGAAGTGTGACCTGGGGAGTGGGGGGGCCCACAGAAGACTACAGAACCCCTGCCAGGCACGCGTCAGCGTGGTGCAGGCACGGAGGCGGATCTGGATGAGCGCATACAGCCGGACCGAAGCATAAGATCGAGGTCGGTTCGGGCAGGGGACCCTATAATGTTCTTCGTGCTGGTTGGATGGCCTCCTGTTCTGCGTGCTTGTTAGGTGGCCTCGTGCATCGTGGGGGGCGGTACCCACGAGCGTTCTTCAGTTTGGCCAGCGGAGGCTCCCAGGGGAGGAGGAGGAGGAGGAGGAGGAGGAGGAGGAGGAGGAGGAGGAGGAGGAGGAGGAGGAGGAGGAGGAGGAGGAGGAGGGGAGGGGGAGGGGGAGGAGGAGGAGGAGGAGGAGGGGGAGGAGGAGGAGGAGGAGGAGGAGGAGGTCTCGAAGGACGTTCTCCTATCCAACATTCTCCCTCGAGTCCAACGCAGGTTTGTCCCGCGGCGTGGCGGCGCCCCTGGGCCCCAAACATATCTCCATCTTCGCGCCGAAGTTGGTGACTGCACACAACAATTCAGGAGGGAGAAAAAACACAGAGACACAATGAATCGTCGATTCCCCATGAAATATGGGAAAATCTGGGAAGTGGGGGGGAAGGCACAAATCCAGAAAATATGGGGAAATATGGGGAATCCTTTTATTTGTGAGTATTTATTTGTGTGTCCTGGTGCTCCTTCAACAATTTGGCCCCGCGGGCCGCGTTTGGCGCGTCGACCACTATTCAAAGCTTGCGTTTGATTTCGACGGGGGTTGCAGGTCCGACTGTACCCATCGGTCACTGAAAGCAAGTTTTTCTGGACTCCCAGAGCCCAATCTATCGTAGTGGTCTTCCTGCTTGAAGAGTCGAGTGGCTTCCCCTCTTCCCTCCTCTTCAGGAGGCGGGCGAAACCCGATCTACTTCCAACGCCTTCCTACTTCATGTTTTATCCACTTCTCATGCCAGCAACATCGCAGAGCGGATTTCGTTCGGAAAACGATCGGATGGGCCCGGAGTGTCCTGGAGAAGTTCGTTCCGCATTTCGAGGTGGATTTCGCGCGGGTATTTTTTGGCCGGGAAGGGAGACTCAACACAATTCCACGCGACACTCCTCTTGCTGTTCACTCGTCGTTTCGGGGTTTCGCATCGGCAGCAAGCCACGCAAAAATTCGCAGCAGCACGTCTGCGAGGTCGGTGCACTTACGCTTCTTCCGACCGCCGGGTGCACGTGCGCGCCCACGCCGCGTGGACGCGCACGTGCACCCGGCGGTCGGAAGCAGGCAAGTCTGTGGTGCCCTGTTGTACCTCACAGACTTCACAGTTCGTCCTGGGTCCTTTACATGTGGGATCCCCATCCGACGGCTTTGCCAGCGACGCTCATACCCAGTCTTCTGTTGCATCTTCGGGGGACCTCGCCTGTCCCAAAAATTAGTGTCTTTTGGGGGGCCCGACGCGTGCTCGATGCGGACTCGACGCGGATTTGGCGTGGCTTCGACGCGGATTCGACACGGATTCGACACGGATCCGACGGTTCCGGCATGGATTCGACACGGATTCGACGCGGACAGGGCCGCGACGGGACAGACAAGGTCCCCCGAGGACACAACATAACCCAGTCCACGCGGGCGCGGGCGGGAGCTCTCGGCGCCGTGGCGACGCTCGCAGAGGGAGAGAGAGAGAGAGAGAGAGAGAGGGAGAGAGAGGCGAGGCCAGGGAACACGCGGGGGCCTGGGGCCCCTCTCGGGCCCCCCCCCCCGGGAAGGCTGGCCCCCGCGCGCTGCCCGGGGACGCCGCTGGCCTCTCCGACGGGGCTCGAGTCGACCGAACTCGCAGCCAGATGCCATGCTTCTACAGTCGGGGCCCTGAAGAAGGAACCCTTTTGGTTGGGGAGGGGCTCCGCGTTCCTTAAGTGTTTCACAGCTTGCCTCAGGTTTTCCTTATGTTTTCGATCGGAAATCGAAGTTTAACTAATGGAAAAAATGGGCCTCGTTCCTTATTTTGGGTTCCTTAGGTCAACGCCCTGACTGTATACCCACTTCAGGGGCAACGATAGGGGGGGATAGGCACATAGGGGGGAAATGCGTCGACACCCCATCGCCCACGGATCGCCGAGAAGGGCCAGATTGCCCCAGCCTGCCCAGGAAGGTGCGGGCTCCTTAGCAGAGGCCTGTCGCCGATCTATCGGCGACGCATCGCCGATTCCGGGTCGATGCATCACCCCCCATGCCAGTCCCCCCATATAGTTGCCCCTTTCCACTTCTTCCGACCGATGGTTACACGCCGGTCGTTGAAAGTAGGTATTTTTGGAGGCCCAGATCCCAATCTACTTCAAGCGCCTTCCTACTTCAAGAATCGACGTGCTGTTGCTGTGTTCTGCTGTTCTCTGGGAGGGCCTGGACCCAATCCGCTTATCCGCCTTCCTGCTTCCTGTTTTTACCCATCTCTTCCGACCGACGTGTACAGGTTCTGCACGAACGAAGTGGGCACGGAAAGAATGGGTACAATGCCCAACAGCGGATCCTGTTCATTTTGAACAGGAATCGCTGTCCGCGCCGCCGCGGCCTTTGTCCATTCGAGACAGAAGGCCGCCTGCCCAACAGCGGCCGCTGTTGGTTTCGGGACAACATTTGCTGTTGGGCATTGTACCCATTCTTTCCGTGCCCGTTTCGGGCGTCCAAATAGTTGCCCCCCACCACTGCTTCCCACCGATGCTTCCGCGTCCACGCGGGCGCGGGCGTGAGCCCTCGGCGCCGCTGCGGTGCTCGTGGGGAGGCGAGGGCGGGGAGCCCGCGGGGGGCCCAGGCCTCCCTCGGGGCCCTCCCCCGGGGCGTTGGCCCCCCCCCCCCCCGCGCGGTGCCCGGGGACGCCGCCCGCGGCATCTCCGATCGGGGGCGGCAGAGAGGGGGGCGATGATTAATTAGGGGGGGAGGTCTCATGGAGGGGCCATGAGAGTTCCCCAGATTTCAGGGCGCCCCGTCTTGTCTCCTCACGCTCCTGGCCCCCAAGCTGGGCCGCGCACATGCCGCCGGCCACGATTTGCGCCCCCCCCTCTTGGCCGCCCCCCTCTTGGCCGCCCCGATCCGACGGGACTCGACGCGACCAGACTTCAGAGCCCCGGATCATCAGGGGTAACTCGGGTCAGGGCTAATTCGGGTTCGTTGTTTTCGGGAGTCCGAGCCCGAGCTGCCCCGGGCCCGAGTTTCCCCCGGATAACTCGGGTGTCCAGAGCCCCAGATCAGGGGTAACTCGGGTCAGGGCTTAATCGGCTTCGTTTTTCGAGAATCCCAACCCGAGTTACCCCAGGCCCGGGTTTCCCCCGAAAACTCGGGCGCCCGAGGACTTGCAGCTCACCACCCACCAAACCACCCCAACCCAACCCGAAGGCCTCAATTTGCCCTCCCTTTCCAGTGGGGGGGGGGTCGGGGATCACCGAAACATATGGAGCCCGTATTCGCCCCAACACGAAATTCGGGTCTTCGCGTTGGGTTGGGGTGGTCTGGCAGGTGGTCAGCAGCCAGATCCCATGTTCGGAGGACGAGCAATGCGGGGACGGCAAAGGGGCTGGGGGCAGCTAGCGAGGGCTGCCGAAGGGGCCCCCTTTCCAGGGCCCCTGAAGGGTCCCTCCCTTTGGGGCCCAGGAGAGCGCCCTGGTTTTGCCCGAGGGAGGGCACCTTTCTCCCCAGCCTATGTGCCGCCCCTCATGAACTCGCGCCCGACATGCGCAGGTGTCCCGACATGCACACGGCCAAGGCGCCGAATCGATATGAGTCGTTTTGGCGTTCGAGGGGGCTCCACTCGGTGGCCTCTTGCTTGTTCTGTATAGGGTTCCACAGGCAAAGCAGCCCAACCAGACTTCGGAGACATGGACGTCGCTCGTTGATTCAGCAC